ACCAGGGTGTTACCCACTGTACTCTACTATGGGAGAAGGGTGAGCTGTCCCGAAAACGCTTGTCTGTTTAGAAGTCGAGATCAACGCTTTGGAATACTCGGTATACCCCCCTACGGAACAAAAAGTAGCACTCCGCATTCACTGACTGCTGGCCGTTGAACCCGTCGTTCAATGATACACCACTAACTGTACTTCGGCTCAGACGTACGAGTGCCTCCAGCTCGTTAAAGAACTCCAGGTGGTCAAAATTTCCGGAGCCCTCCACTACGCCGTCTCTCATAATCATATGGTGGTTTTGGGACGTTAAACCACACATATCAATCAATCAATGAGTGCCTCCAAGAAACTTCGAGGCTTACTGCCGAAGAGCAGTGTGTAAAATGTGCAATCCACCAACCAGCGCTTCAAGAAATGCTCCACCTGGAAACCAAATGCATTTTAATATAGTTATATGGCTGAGAATGAGTATCGTTATGTACCGCTATGGTGCTCTCAAGAGCAGAGTAGTATAAGCGCAATTTATAAGTGATTCTCGAAATGTATTTATAAGGACCGCGTAAAGAGAAACCGTAATATTATTTAATATGATTGTGAGAAACGGTGCAGTGGGGGGCTCCGAGAATTCGGACCACTTTGTGCTTTTTGGCGTGCGCATTTGACGGGCCTCTCGCATTTCGCCTCCACAGAGATGCAGCCGGCATTCGCTCCCACGACCTTCGAATTGTCTGTCAAGTGCCATAACCACTGGACCATCTTGGTGCTTATAACTAGGAATTATGCTTATGGCTGCTTAAAATACTTATAACTAGGGATAAGTGTATTCAGACAAATCCGAGAAATTCGATGTACACTCGGCGGTATAATTTCTTGAAAATTCTGATTCACTTGATAAGCTCCGATTTTAAAAGGTCGCTTCCAGCGTTCAAAGGGCATTTTCATATCTGTCAATCACCAATCGAAAGGAGAGTACCTCTATCAGAGGCAGCGACCTATGAATGCGCCTATTCCAACAAGAATAACGTTGTAATACGAACAAACATGGGTGTTTTGCATACAAGTATTTGTGCTTGTCTGTATGTGTGTTTGTGCGTTCGAACATTCCAGATATCTGAATTGCACTTCGTGTAACCACGTGTTTCTATGTTCAGATATAATTTCATCTAAGAATTCAGAGTATTGGAAATAATAATAATAATAATAATAATAATAATAATAATAATAATAATAATAATAATAATAATAATAATAATAATAATAATAAATAATGCCCCTTCACCACGATGGTGAAGAACTTCATAAGGACGGACACTTTTGAAGAGCACAGGACAAGGGGCTGCTAGCAACTAAAACCGATCGATCCGTTGTTTGTAGCGCGTTTTGCTGTTTTTTTTTTTCAGAAGTGCCTGTTCTTTTCAGCGCTTCACCGAAACAAACTTCACCCGGCTTAACGTTTCCGAGGCGTTGAATAGTCGTGCAACAGTTCACGGGAACATTTCAGGCTGCTGCATGCAAAATGCGTTTGCTCTGACAGCTGTTACGCATTCGAACAGCTGGTGCTCTCGCGCGCTCCAAAAATAGAAAAAAAAAAGCCATAGCATTTACGGCAGGTATACACGCCCGTTGTAACGATCCCTTTCTGTTTCCGGACTCGACAAAGCACATACATGACCCGTATGACTGACTAGCATCGGTTAGCCGGTCTAGACGGGCTTCTTTGACAGTTTTTTTTTTTCAGATTCCGCCAAATAGGCAGTTTTTATGGTGCTATTGTAGCTAGCGACATTGAAAATGAGGTAACTTTTTTTTTCTATAAACAGCAAAGGAAGGCTCTTGGCCAATCCCTTCATGTCGGGGATCGGTGGGAACACGTGTGGGCATCATGATGGGATATGATCCCACACATTTGGTAAATCTCCTCTATAGTTCGTCCACTAAAGATAAAGGCGGCCACAGTAAGCCCAACAACAAGCCGAAATGCTGTGGTATGCGCCACAGAAATTCGGCACATCCCACTACACACAACTATCCACAGTTAGATCAGTAAATGGTGGGCGCGTTAATCACACCCCCGTCACGCTATACTTGGTGGTTATAAAACGTGGCGGCCTTGCTATTACATCAATAAGTGTTCAATAACGAGCAGTGACACCACGTATGGACGCACAGTGGCAGGGTCAAGATGCAATAAAACTATACACCTTACAAAGAGTGTATAATGAAGAGCAGGGACGCAACACATTTGTAACGCTCGCAAAAGACAGAAATGCGTTATTCTGGCGAACGGAACGCTTGCAGCTTCGCTGTTTCATCGGTGTACGCGAAACCACAGTTGGTTGAATTTTTTTTTTAATGATTACCAGGAAAATGTTCGCCTGATTCGTCGCCTGGCTTGCTACTCGGAGCGTCAAGTATTATATACAGTAATTACATATGCACAAAAGCGTTATTCGTGAAGTTTTCTTAAAGTGTGTAGTCTTCAAGAACACCAACAGCACTTTTGCTTCTCAAGGAGCATATCGGAATTCGCCTCAACCAACCAGACGTTGAGCGTTGGCTCGATTGTTTTTTTTTTGTTTGTTTGTTTTTGTAACTCCGAAAAAAAATAAGAACTCTGACATAAATGCAGTAATGGTTCAAATTAAGAGTTGTACACTATACCTACTTACGAAGTATATTTTCAGTATAGACAAGGTCCACATTAGTGTAAGGCTAATTAATGAAATTTGATTGGGCATGGGAGTATGTGCCAACAAAATGTCACATACCCACTACATAACAGTCTTCTATCGCTCAGCAGTGGACCTACTGAAGGGAGCGACAGTGATCAAGCCAGCCCTTAAATATACATATAGTGTCCATGTGACATCACAGACAGGTTCTCTGTGCTGTGGGCCATATGGTGGCGGCCACCGTGACTTATTTCATTAGAGGGGGTCAGTGCCGAGGAAGACACGGAGTCGTTCGGTCCCCACGTTCTGTGCTCTCTTCACTTCTGGTGACTCTCCAGGCCGTGATCCAGTTCCTTTCCGAGGACCACCCACCACGGAATTCCTGCTTTCAAGCAGTGAGTGCGCGGCCCAGCACCAGCCGGCGTGACTAAGCCTTTAAGGTCACCGCAGCGGCGACCCAACCACCCCTTCGAGACGCCCCCACAGGCAATCTGGTCGCCACCTGTTCCGAACTCTACAGTCTGCTACAGCCGTATGCCTTTCCTGCCATGACGGACTCGCGGCTGCCTTATTCTGCGTCTTCCCTTTTGCCGTTCATCCCTATCGCCCTACAAGACGCTGTGCGGCAGAAATGAGCGTCTTTTTCTTTCCTCGCCTAACCACCACCACATCTAGTGTACCTTCGAATCGGGGACAGTCCAAGGGGAATGCGAGAGGCATCGGCACCAATCTGATGCCACTGTTTGAGCTCACGCAGCATCTGAACCAGCTGCGGGCCCTAAGATGGCTGCAGACTTGGCGCGGCTGGCGAGCAGAAGAAAGCTCGAGGAGCCCAAAAGAAATCTGGTACCGAACAATAAAAAGTCCCGGCAGCCGCCATGTTTGCGCACCTAGCGTAGAGAACCTGTCTGGGATGTCGCGTGAACACTACATAGAAATTGAAGACCAAACGTTAACCTAAAGTCCACTTAGGTGAACCAGAAGTCCACCAGACCAAGGACTAGCGTCGTCAAAGGCACCTAAATGAAACATTAAAGTCACCTGAAGTTTTTGTGTATCTAATGTAACTTCAAATCGGGGATAGTCTAAAGTTGTCACTATGATACCATGCACTATAAGCACGTCAACTACGTGTGCTTGCCTCAATTTCATGGACACTTCTGTTTTTTTTTTTCCTGAAACTGTGGTTCGTAGATTTGAAAAGATGTCCAGGACGGCTGTCGTTCAAGGCAGCGTGGACGAATTAACGAAGCGGCTGTCGGCATATGTGGGGACCACAGGGACTATACGGACGCTATAATGGATGAGGCATTATTATAAGCCTACACGGCTCTTCGTATTATGAAACACTAAAATCGTCGCCCAATGAACAATGCCGCTATAGATTAAGGCTTCGTGTACGGTCAGAAAAAGTGCCCTTAGGTGACCGCGCGCCGTCTATTTTTCGCTAACCTTATCAAGAAATGATGGTCAGAGCGGGAGCGTAGTCCTACCAAACAGTCCACTAGTAGACGAATATATAGTGGCTGAGAAATGTCCACGGGGTTGGCCATCCGAGCAAAGCTCTACTTGAAAATGTTATGAGCGATACGGGAAAGAGAAACATTCACTTGACGCGACGAAATGATTTACACCAATGTGCGAAATGTTCGCTCTTCAAGAACGCATCAGGAAGGAAGCAAGCGATAGTTCGGCAGCCACATGAACAGCTAGAGTTCGAACATTTGAATTATTATTTGCAGGAGTGTGATGGCGCAAAAGCAACAATAGCCGTAGGTGAACTTTTTGAGGAAGGCGTGGAGACCCCGTGAACAAGTATCCTAACAGAGCTGTTCTGCATGCGCCAAACTCCTTTATATATGTTGTAATAAAGATTTTGTCATCTACGCTACCACGTATATGGAAAATAGTAAAACTTTTGGACAGTCAGAAAATTATCAATATTATTTGTTGAGTTTCACGGCCCCAAGCAACGATATGGTTATGAGGGACGCCGTAGATGAGGGCTCTAGAAGTTTCAACCAGCCGGGGTTCTTTAACATGGATATTTAACGTACACGAACCTCTAGCCGGGGTTACATCACGTGACTTTCGGATCAGTCTTCAGCGCACCATCAGAGCCACTAGAACATTGCAGTGGGTTTGGCAATTATAAGCTTTAGCAGTGGTGCAACGTGTGTAATATTCGTCACTGCATCTATGTGACATTCTCCTAATCGACAGTCTTTGTACCCGAGCTTGCAGCCATGATGATCGATGGTGGTCGTTGAATGTGCATGCAGAGAGGTCACCGCGGGAAGGAATAGATGACCACACGGAGGTGACACTTACCCAGTAGTGCGACAGTGTGTTGATCTGGAAGGTACGCGCAATCAGCTCGTCGGGCAGGTCGAGTAGCCGCTTGCCGGTCACGACGCCGGCGTTGTTGACGACGATGTCGACGCGTCCGACGTCCTCGCGCACTTTGGCCGCCGTCTCGTACACGGTCTTGCTCTCGGCCACGTTGCACACGTAGGGCCAGGCCTTGCCGCCGGCCTCGCGGATCAGGCGCGCCGTTTCCTCGTTGCCCGCCCGGTCAATGTCCCAGAGCACGAGGCGCGCCCCGCGCTGCGCGAATCGCAGCGACAGCAGGCGACCGATGCCGCTGCCGGCGCCCGTCACCAGCACCGTCTCGCCGGACACGCTCTTGCGCTGCAAGTACTTGCGCGGCACCAACTTCACCACGATCGCCTCGGCGATGTAGTACAGCACGAGGAGCAAATTGTACGCAATGTGCCACACCTTGTTGCCCGATCCCTCCATGGCGCTGCACCTATACTGTTGGGGTTCACTTGTTGCTAACACCGCGCACACACTCGAACTCCGTGATGCCGCGGAGAATCAACAAGAGAGGCTGGCCCCCAGCCGTCCGTCACGTCGCTTCCCGGTCTTCTCGCTCGCAGAACGATTCCGCGCGTTATGCGATGAACTTGGCAGCTGAGGCCCTCTTTCTGTTGACGCTAGCCGTCTTTCTCTCTCTTTCCTTCTCTCTGCTACGTCACGACGAGCCCCGTACGAAGCGAGCAACTTTCTCTGCTCCGTCGCTTTCTCCTTTTGCCCCATCCTTGTCACACCTCCTCTCGCCCATTGTGCGGTTTTCGCTGACGCTGCGAGTGCTGAGAGAGGAAAGCCTCTTTCTTGTTTTCTCTCTCAACTCTTTCTCACACTCTGGGTATCGCCTCGGCCTCTTCCTCTCTCTCATTACTACCACTACTACGAGCGCCCTTTCTTACCGAAGTGAAGGTTGTTCACTTGTTCTCGGGGTCTTCACAGTCGTCTGTTGTCAAGTGCAGGGTGGCAGCTCGTGCGTTTTCGCCCGTCTCGCGTCCCTGACGCGCCGGCCGCCGTCGGGCGACCTCGACAAGTGAAGCCACTCCGGTGGACAGCGAGCTGCCACCGATATTTCTCACGCGCTTGTGGCGTGATAAGCGGGGCGTGGAAAGCATCGGAGGCGTTATGCGAAGGTCGTAGGTCCGGATACATATTGGCGAGAATTTGTCTGTTTGTGCACTGTATTTTTTTTTAATTTCATATCAAATTACTAGTACTTGGGTCACTACCTATATCAAATTACTAGTACTTGAGCCACTATCTCCCATATGAACCTAGCTAACAAGGACATAATCGCGCCGAAGGAAGAAATCGTAAAAAAAGAAGAACTGCAACTTTTGCGAAGAAGACCGGCAAGAAACGGAAGTTTAATAAATTTTCTCATTCTTGAAAGCATTTGAATTATATGAAGCTCCTGACAACTACGACATAACGCAACTATTTCGTTCAGTGAACATGCACAGAAAAATATGCGCAACGATGGACGAGAATATCATTATCATCAGCCTGACTACGTCCACTGCAGGACAAAGGCCTCTCCCATGTTCCGCCAGTTAACCCGGTCCTGTGCTTGCTGCTGCCCATTTATACCCGCAAACTTCGTAATCTCGTCTGCCCACCTAACCTTCTGTCTCCCCCTAACCCGCTTCCCTTCTCTGGGAATCCAGTTAGTTACCCTTAATGACCAGTGGTTATCCTGTCTACGCGCTACATGTCCGGCCCGTGTCCATTTCCTCTTCTTTATTTCAACTATGATATCCGAGAATATATATTTATGACGAGAATATTTATTTACTTTTTTAACGTAATCTTGCAGGTAGTGACCACTCTACGATCAATGCGCATTTATCAGTGCCTGAATAACTTTGCTCGATGATTCGCCCGACGAATGTTCTATTTCGACGTTCAACTAAGCAATGACGTAGACAAACACGCTATTAGTGAACGTGACGAGCACTGAAATAACCCGACTTGTCGGCAATTGGTCACCTGATAATTTAGTAATCTCACGAATCACTTGTGACTCACTACTGCCCCAATTACATTTGACAAAAATATCACCCTCCCACTCCCCTTATGATGTATAAAAGCGGACAACTGAACAGAACCCCGAAACTTTAATGCGCAGTTACGCTCAATAGCGGTTGCAACACGCTGTCTTACTCAATTTGAAGCCATAATAATGAGATGGAACCTACGTGGCATGTGCATGAAAAAAAAATGGTGAAATAAGCTCTCTATTATTGGTACTTTCTAATACAATTTAACATTTGTCGGTGTCATTGTTCAGGCTCTGGGTGACTTAACAACAGCCAGCGTGTTGCAACTTCTATTGAGCATGACTGCACATGCGCTGTAAATAAAGTGTTCTTGAGTTAGTTCACGAACTATTCTAAAAGTAATCTCAATAATTTTCAAAAGTAATAGTAATGCAGTGTCGTTACTTTCGCCCATCTGTAATTGGCAATGCACCTTAATTGCTTCTTAACAGTCTGCAAATAACTATATTGGCAAGAAATACATATTACCCTCAAGCAAACACGGCCAGCGTCTGGAAAAGTCGACAAGCTACTCAGCGCATAAAAAAAAATCCCAGATGCACCTATTATGAGCGGAACTGGCCACTCCACCCTTGTCTCGTCTCTCTGACTGTCGAGCTTTTGCCACTTTCCCCTCGTCCGTCGCGTCATCTTATCTTTCTGTCCTCCCTCACTGTCGTCTCTACGGGCTTTTGTCATACACGCCAGCGCAGAAGCTATCATTCATGACACTTTCACGTGTACCACAGTCAGTCCATTCTTTCTATTCACGGGACAGATCTTCCCTTTTACACATACCCAATTCGTCACGACTCCCCCTCCCCCCTCTCCATATCCACAGTTGTCCGCTCCCTCTCTGTTCGAATTGGAGGGGATGGTGCGAAGCATATTCGCGTTAGCGCTACAGAAACCACTGCTATAGCCTTGATGAAGACAAGTTCACTTGTCAAAACGCCGGCTCTACCACAAGACCCCTGTTTACGGATGTTTTTCACCGCTTGGTACAGGCTATTTAAAAGGACGTTCCACGGAAACGTACGTCCGTTGTTTCCACCTTCGGCGTCTAGGGTGAATAGCACAAAATAGAACAAAAGTTTGAACTAACGATTCTGTCCCTCACCTGCATGTTTAGCGTGACTCACCACTCAACACGTGCGTGACCATGCCGACGAACGTTCATGGAACTCCGGCTTATCGGCAGCGCCCAAGTACCTACGGGCAGTAGGCCGATTGGTCACGGTCCCTTCATAAGCAGCAGCGCTCAAGACACACTTCTGCTTCACACCCACATGTAAACAAGACGACTTGACACCTGCTACTAGGTGCATCGATTCTGAATTCATGTGTGACTACGTCTCGCTACTGATCCCACTTCTGACCAGACGAACTTTTGCCGCACCCTCGCCTATTTCAGATTGTTCTGAGTGGCAGCGTGAGTCAGCTGAAAATGAATTGAGATGCTTCATTCCGACTGAAAATTGCAGACCGGTGTGCTGACAGGCATATAGTTAAACAGCTTTAGTGATTTAGGGGGAAGAGGGACGACAAAAGGGCCCTCGGGCCACTCTGGATGACTGGACGCTTTTGTGCTTCGGCGACCCCTTGGGCTCAATCCACATTACAAAAAAGCTAGCAACCTCGGGTTGCCAGCTGGGCAGAACACCCTTTCTTCGTAGGAAGGAAGTAAGGCAAATTCTTTTATTGGGTCCTGCGGAGCGTGACTGGGTCACGCACCCGGCTCACTAAGGGACCAGCAAGCCGAGCCTGCCGGCTACATCGCAACATTTTTTTTTTAATCAGGTCTAGCACACGTCGAAAGGGAAACTCACAGTGGTCTCTTCACGCAAAATGTGTATTAAAAATGTACCAAATAGCCGGGATCCACACCTCTGTACCGGGCTCGTGTTGTACGGCGCTGCACAAGAATGTAGCCTAAGACATTCTTCCCATCTCTGCCGTGTTTCTTTTCCTCCGTTGTTTCCTCCTTCTCAGTAAACGACGGTCTTATAGTTGGTTCATTGACGTTCTTAAACAGCGCGAGTACACGAGTGAGAGAATATGTAGAACACGAGCGCAGAATGCCAAGTGCTGATTTTAGGGCAAGCAAAATAACCAAGAGCCTGGACCCATGACCAATCTGTAAATCTTCCTTATCTCCTTGTCGGATCACAAACGAACTTGCTAGACAAGATGCTTTAACACGCACTGATTTGTCAAATTAGCTATGGCTCTTTGAAATGAACGGGCTGAACTGTGTCCGGTCCCGCACTTCTTTTATCACTGATCTCCTTTTAGAACTATCCTGCAAAGAAAGTGATGTGTCACGCCATACCCCGCTTCAAGATAACCCGAAGAAGAGGATTAGCACATACTAAAAAAAAGGGGGGAGGAGGGGGCTAAGCTTATCTCTTCTTCAAAGAAAAAAAAAACAGGATGACTCTTTTCCCCGTCAACATGTGCATCGGGCGAGAATGTAGCATGCTTTTTTTTATTTTTATTTTCACACTGCGCGGACATGGCATGGCACTGCACATGAAATGTACGCTGCTGGGTTATAATGCGGCGGAATGAACCACAGCTTATCGAGTTGGTGTATAAGACCTATATCCCAAGCAGAAATCCGCGATAGATGAAATATTAGGCTGAGGAGAACGATGAGGTGCTTACACTAACCGTGTGAACACCTCCGCGACGCTGGTTCATGTTAGGCAACGCTGGTTTATCACTAAGACTATACATTTGTCTGTTCATGGGTTTTTTAGCACATGTTCATCTAACCACACATATATATGCTTCAATAAATTTTGTGTTGATATAGTTTGCGTCGCGTTTCATGTTTCTTTCCTCGTGTTCTTTTGCACACCTAGAGAGAGAGAGAGAGATAAAGATGCAAGGAAAGGCAGGGAGGTTAACCAGACGCACATCTAATTTGCTACCCTGCACTGGGGAAGGGATAAAGGGGAGAAAAGAGGTTACAGAGAGATGAGAAGGTACACAAATCACGAGCACACTCGGGGAGCACACGCAGTCTACAGGCGGTCGCTCAGGTTTGTTGACTTTAGGTAAAGTAGCAGTGCTTTAGTTGCTTTCTGCGCAACTGAGGCAGATGCCCGAGATCCTAGTATCTTATGCACACAAAATGGTCCGGGGTCAAGTCGATTCAAAACCATCCGGAGCTGGCATCGCTGTGTGTCGTAGCAAGGGCAGCTGCACAGGACGTGTTCGATGGTCTCTTCAGCTCCGCAGTAGTCGCATGTAGGAGTGTCTGCCATACCAATGCGAAAGGAGTACACCTTTGTAAATGCAACACCCAACCAAAGGCGGCATAACAGTGTCGCATCGGAGCGGGAAAGTTGTGATGGTAGCTTTAGCTTGAGCGAAGGATCCAGTTCATAAAATTGACACCTTTTGAAGCTGGTAGACGACCAGAACGTGCGTGTGAGATCTCGAGCCAGCGGGTAAAGTTGTCTTGCTGCATCATTCCTTGATAGAGGAATCGGGACTACACGGGTTCCTTCATGGGCTGAGCGGGCTGCATCATCGGCTGATTGATTTCCGGTAATACCGA